AACAATTTTGTAGGTTGTTAAAAGCTCCAAAGAACATTCTCTAAATGCGCCTTGAGCTAAATGGATTTAAAGAGAAATGTGTAAACTCTATAAATATAATAATAATAATATAATAAATATAAATATTTAAGTCGTTTTCAGACAATTTTTAATATATAATCATAATAATAATACTAGAAGACATACATTCATCTGTCAGAGATCTATATTATAAGAGAGGGAGAGAGAGAGAGAGAGTGGGCGAGATAATTAAACATTAAATGAAGGAGCTTCCATAAAAAATTCTTGATTATCACAGTTCAATATCGATATTTTTCGCCCTTAGGCTCTTCCAATATCTCACAGTAAACCATGACCAGAATCTCTTTAATTTTGCACTCTCTAACCATAAGCCGCACACTCGACCAGAACAAAATGCGCTGACCCACAAGACGCAAATATGCGGATTATGCAAACCAAATGTCATTAGTCAATGCAGGATAAATGTAGGCTCAATGGACCCATATTTGAACTCTGACCAGTAATGCGTTAAGTGGACAAAATGCCAGCAGAAATGATGCCAATTTCTATTAATTTTGGCCCGACGAAAAAAAATACAAAAAAAAAAAAAAAAAAGAAGAAAGAAAAACCGCAATATGTGTACACAGAACTTCGCACAACCCTCGGAGCAGCCGGAGAAAGGTAAGAATAAGAAAGTTGATACCTGGTTAGGTCGATTGGAATATATTCGTATCGATTGGAGGTAAAACGGAGCGAGAGCTACCCCCCAAAACTATTGGACGACATAAACAATCTCATTGTGCGCACTCGAGCCAAATGATGTGTGAGATATCAATTGTCAAATTGACAATAGAAATTGACAGATCGGTATCTGTAACGTTCCTATCGGTAGATGAAGCTGCTGCTGCTGCTGCTGCTGCTCGCACCGTCATAAAATTAGAAGTTTATTGATTTGTCTTGACACATTCGCATATCCAAAAGTGAGAGGGACTGGGAAATCGATGGGCATATGCCGAGATTGATGCACCGTTCGCTACTTTTCAGGCGCATTATCAATGGGTGTGCCACTCCTCTTCCTGCCGCCGTCTTACCCCTTGCTGATTTCGTTCGTTGTTCTACAAAAATTATATGCAATTATATACGAAAGCAAAGCATTTTATCTGTATGTATATGTATATAGATATGCTGCCGCTGAGTTGTCATAAAGTGCGCAACTTTACGAGCCACTGTAAATATTTTGATGTCGAGCGCTAAAATACTCGTCGGACATCCGCTGACGTTGGCCAATTTTTCAGTTTCCACACCCAGCGCTCATACACACTCAACTCCATGATGACGTCGTCTCTTCATTTCCGCACTGATGGACTGACAAATGAAGCAACGCTTCCGCTTCAAGTATATCCAAGCACTTTTTGGTCTACGCCCCGATTCAAACTTACTTTCAATTTCAATTTCAATACAAAACGGAAAAAAATAAACTATCATTAATGGCATCGTGACTTGCCTCTTTGCCGTTGAAGTAGTGTTTCCTTGTTGAGTCTAAAATTTGTACTAATTATTATTAATGCTTTTCCCTAAATGTTGCTTCTTAACGGCTGTCGATGATGCCTCACATTTTGAAACTGTTTCTGGGCTTGTCTGTGGCATAGCCTGCGGGCTATGACAGCGAAAGTTGAAATAGTGGGTCAGGAGGGTTCCACCATAATGGCGGTATACGATTGATATGTGAACGGGATATTAGAGATTTATTCTTGTTTCCTTTATTAAGACAAATTTAGCTTTTAAAGTTCTTGGGAATTGTATAATGTTTGTAATTCTTTAAAGCAGACGATAATAATAATAATGATAATCATAATTCGATATTTTTGTGATAATCATAATTTATATAACATTATATTGAACAGTGCCGTTCAACTAAGTAGGTTAAATATTTTTTTAAAGTTTATAAATAAAAAAATAAAAATTGAATTGAATAAGATAAATAAATTGATAAATTTAAACTGCTGTAAATTTTCATTTCAAACTATTTATTTATTTATTATTTTTTTCAAAAGGTTCAATAAAGATAGTTCCATAAAAATTGTAAATGGTGATCTAACAAATGCTGTGGGAATGGGTAAAGAAAACTTAAATATCAGAAGATTGTTACGTATCTACGATAAATCTATATGTTGAGTTCGTCCGTCAATTTATACACCATATTTTCCTACTCATACGTAAGCTATCTGTAACTGCCTTTGATCATATACTAGATATCTGTGGCAAGTGAGTGTCTACTTTTCCATTTATAATAACATATATTTCTGTATATATAGACACTATTAAAAAAGTCGACTCGTCCTTTGGCAGCTGTGACTTCTTGCTTAGCTTTCAACTCTCTCTGCTGTTGGAATAACTCGAGGAATTCAGATACTAAATTCAACAGCCTCGGCACAATCGACACATAATCTCGAGCCAACAGAACCTGTCAGGGCTCAGCTACCAGGCAAGTGTATCGAAGCAGGCGTCCGCTAAGAACTCCTGCAGCCTGTGTGCTTATTATGCAGCCTACTCGCCCACTTGGCTACAGCTCTTTTAATTTAATAAAAAGCATACAGCGTCAAGGATGCGTCTTTGAGCAGAGCTGCCAAAGTCTGTCGTCCTCACCGCCGTCGTCGTATCAGTCATCACTTGTTAATCCGAGTTAAACGTTTCGGCGGATATTATGCACTACATATATACACACACACACATTTAGGTATCTGTATAATTTATATATATTCTTTTTTGGCCAGTAGCTGAATGCAAACTACTCGCAAAGGGGCCGAAGGCGGCAGCAGGAAGCCGAATGGTGCTGGCAGCAGGATATTAACAAGGTAAAGTTAACGGCGTCGCGGCCGTGTGTCTGCCAGTAGTGGGGCGTGGCAGGGGAGTACAAAAGCGTAATGTATATTAAATGCACTCAAGAAGATTCAATTCATATTTCAGAACGTTTTGCTTTCATTAGGCGACCAACAAAAGCAGAGGACGACGAAGGCGTTCGAGCCCTGCAGGCGGCGATATGTGAGAAATTTGGGAAGCGCGTGCGCTGCCTTTAAGTGGTTTACGCCAAGAGGATTTCGCTCTCTGTGTCAGGCTGATGACACCTGTGCACACACACATACACACACACACACACACACGTACACAAAACAAACAGAGACAATGCCCCTGGCTGTCACCTTTCGCAATAACTGAATGCTACCTGCTATGGCGTCCCGTTCCTTGGCATTGCCAACCGCAAGACTAACAAAAACACGACCGCAAATTGACTTGGATTCTGCCCTCGTTTATCCTTTGTCATGCTAAAAAATATTTAAGGAAATTAAACGGATTTCCCCAAACATTTCTACCAAATAATGTACTTAGGTCGCAAGTACAAGAAACGACTTCAAGCTCTCGCTTAACTCATCCGATATGATAATTATCTTGTCTGCTTCACACTCGGCTAATATGTATAGAAGCTTGGAAGCTTAGCTGCAGGACTTTTACAAACTTGCACTGTCAACTACTTCGCCAGGTAATTGGCAACCAACGGAAATTGGCGAAAGTATAAGGGATTTTCCTTGGCTTCTGCCAAATTGTGTAGTGAGTTATATAGTGGAGCCGGAATTGCGGTTAATATTATATTATAGTGGAGTCGGAATTGGGCGTAATGCTTACAATGAATTTTAGAGTAATATATATTTTAGAGAAATAATTTAGGAATATTATATATTAAAGAGATTTAAATAGCATTTAGCAATGTTATGTATTGTATAATAGAAATAATATACATTTGCTTGACATCATGACTGAAACTATTTTATAGCTCGTAAATAATCTTACAACTGTTCTCTAGACACTTTAGAAAATTTTATTACAGACTTTTCTCAGATTTTATTTCCTCTTTCACGTACACACAACTAACTAAAAACTGTCAATAAAAGATTTAATATTCTTTATGTATATTGTAAGTTTTAAAAAATAATAGCATAACAATTATAAATAGAAAAGGATAACTTCTTTCAAGTCTTTTGAAAGATAAACTATCATTGGAATATTCTTATTCGTTCTCCTTAGTGATATGTAAATTAGTTGAAATTATTAAAAATCCCATATACCGCAAAGTTGTTTTTCATTACACTTCATTATAAAATTTTAGTGGTAAGATATTTTGCTATAAAGCAAAAACCACAAAGAAGAACTCTAGCAGCTCTCCTTTTAAGGCTGGCTTTCCTATTATTATATGTGAAACTCTTGTCATGCGATGATGAAGTCAAATTCATATTGGAATGTTGAGACTTCCGACGGAATGTCAAGCAAATATTCATCTTGCACGCACTATGGAAGTCATCAATAATGCGCGTTTATACCTAGAATTTGCGATCTGTTTGATTCAAGACACTCGAAATCACAGAAATGCTTTGTGAATGCGGTAATGAACCACGCAATGTAATGCAAAGAATGTTTGTTTCATCCAGGATTGTCTCGATAGCAGCAATGAACAGCAGCTAGATTAATTCCCACAATTAACAGTCAATTAAAGGCAGCTAAATTATTTATTCATATGGATAACGTAAAGAATATAAAACTACTCTGTTCCAACATATTGAGTGATAAAGAATATATGATAATACCTACACAAAATTTCGATACAAAGGAATACTTCGGAACGTAACCTATAAGTTTAGTTGTAGCTTAGCACCGCCGAAACGTTTGAGGAAGCTGTGGGACGTAAATTGTGTTACGTGACTAGCTGAATCTGTTTCAATGTAAAATATAATAATGGATATTTGTTAACGTTTATGTTTTGATAATAATTTTTGTAAGGCAGGCGTGTAAATATTTATTATATCTTAAACTTAAGAATCTCGTGCATAATCATATTTTAATATTTTACTGCAGTAAAATAGCATATATCGCATATCAATCGGCCAGCTCTAGCTCAACAAAAATAATTTAAGAAAAAACAAAATCAGCTGGCCATGAATTTTCGATCACAACTTTCACATGACTTTTCTAATTTATATCGCTAAATACACTAGTACAAATCTTGAATGCGTACTGAAAGCTCCGCTAAATTAATATTCCGAAAAACGTAATATTTCTGAATTTCACAAATTGGAGGGAAATGGCAAAGCGCTTCTCGAACATACAATTGCCCGTGAGCTGTGTGGGCCACACTAGCGACGTGTTCCAGCTGGCGTTCAGCAAGGTCTGCGAGTCGGGCTACTACTTGGCCTCGGCCTGCCAGGATGGGCAGGTGATGTTGCGACACGGCGACACCGGCGACTGGGTGGGCACCTTCGAGCAGGGCGGCGAGCCCATTCTGAGTGTGGACATCAATGCGGATGCCACTCTTCTGGCCTCGGGCGGCGACGACTGCGCGGCGCGCATCTGGGATGCAGTGGATGGCAAGCAGCTGACAAAGATGATGGTGAACTCGACTGTGCGCTGCGTGGCACTCAGCTCCAAATCGGAGTACCTGGCTGTGGGCTGCCTGGATCGAAAGACGGGCCATAGCACCGATAAGGTTCTCTACATGTACGCGCTGGAGCATCCGGAATCGCCGATGTCGTTTGTGGGCCAAGCACGGGGCGTGCGGGATGTCATCTTCTGTCGGGACGATCGCGCGATGCTATCCTCGTCGCACGATCGCTCGATACGCCTGTGGGATCGGATTAGTGGCAAGCAGGTGCACTCCATCTCCTTGCCCCATCACGCCAAGTCGGTGGAGCTGTGTGCGGACGGACGCACTGTGAGCATTGCCTACGGCCACAGCACCGTCTTCGTCGATGTGGACCGCTTCGAGGTGCTGCAGCATCACAAGCTGCCCGTCCGCCTCATCGGCGTCTCGCTGCATCCGGAGAGGAAGACGTATGTGTGTGCGGGCAGCAACCGCTGGATCTACAAGTGTGACTATGCCACGGGCGAAATCCTGGAGACCTTCAACGCCCACGAGCGTCACATGCACTGCATCAAGTACAGTCCCGACGGCGAGGTCTATGCCTCATCCGCAGCCGACGGCGGGCTTCGCCTCTGGCAGCAGACAGTGGGCAAGAAGTATGCATTGTGGGATGCACGAATCCTTCCGATCGAAGAAGAAGATGACGAACAGGGCGACGCAGATGATGATGATGGGGGTGATGATTATGATGATGCCGAGGACGAAGGCAACTACGGCGACGAAGCCAACGACGACGGCAACGGCAACGACGAGTATGAGGATGAGGATGAGTATGAGGACGACGACGATGACAACGGCGATGGCGAAGGCGATGATCGCCGTGTCGGCGTCGTCCACTTCGACGAAGAGTACGATGACGGCGGCTGCGACGAAGACTTCGATGGCGAGGGCAACGATGCCAACAACGGCGGCGTCTGCGACGATGAAGAGGAATACGGCGACGAAGAGGGCGAATACGAAGAATACGACGAAGAGGACGAATACGAATACGAAGACGACGACAACGACGACGGTGGCTCTGACGACGTCGAAGCGCAGTCGTATAGTTGCGCTTAGAGCTCGGAGAAAAACGAAATCGGCCCCAAAACCAGAATCCACAATCTCGAAAACTGGATATCAACTGTGGCTGCACACGTGTTTAGCGTTTCTTTGGGTTGATTTTCATCAGTTTCTTAAATTTGGTTCCAATAATAAAATAAACGAAAAAGGGTCACGCTCTGGTCCCTCTAATAAATTTGTCTGCAACCGCGCGGCGTTGTGTGATTGACTGCCCCAATCTATCTACCTGTGTCTGCCAGTCTGTACCCACAAGCCTGTCATGTCCGTCCGGTTGTCCCTAAGCCGCGACTCTAACTACCTAACATTTTATTGTCTTCTCCTTTTGTATACCATGTAGTCCCTGAAAGAGTGGGTATACTGTATTCTGAGATCTGCATCTGTGCATATAGGTAAATTAGTAGTAGTACAGGTATCAGCTCTTTGAACACATGATGATATGAAATTCGTCAAGGCTTTAGATAGATGCAGAAATAATGGTCCTATTATTGAAAGACATCTAAAAATATATATATGTGGGTCCGAGCCTTACTGCCTTCGGAATACCGTGGCATTAGAGATATACAATTTTGGTTAGATATTCAAATTATTAAATTAAATTTTCGATTTTTAAGATATCGGAAACACTTTTGTCAAATTTTATAATAGATCCGCTTTTAAGCAAATCTACCAGCATTCCTGGCAAAAAATAGAATATATATGAGATCTAAAATAAGTGATATCTAATAGTCGTGTACACCCGCCTGCCACAGCCTCACCCGTTTATTGTTACTCATTTCGACTGCTCAACCTGTTTTCGTTGCGCATTTGACTGAGTAAAAGGTTTCCTGAAAGGATTTTAGGAAAACCCAAGAAGACGTCGCTCATTGCCCCAAACTCTCTGGTGTTTGGTGTTTTTAATGATGTTTCTCACCAAATCAGAGTCATAAATGCATTTTATTTTTATTTATACAGTCGTGGCAGTCAACAAAACGTGGCCCTCTGGGCATTGAAATCGTTTTATTATGCATCCAAAAAGCAGTACGTAGGTTCTCGATTTCCTTCACTTTGGGGTAGGTGCAGTGCGAGAGAGTCTGGCTGCAGCTAATGCATTACTGATAGAGTAGGCAAACAGAGATACAAAACGTATGAAGATACAATGCAGCATAGATACAAAGTTTTTGGTGGGGCAAACAACGAAATGCTGACCTAAGTTACCTAACAAGATTTTGTCGCTTGACTTCGCGTGTTTGTTTGCTCTTGCTGCAAATGCATTTCCATAAATATATATGTATATACACAAATTTTCTTCTGCTGATAAAACAAGTTTTCCACACACAGACACACACTCACACACTCACACACACAAATAAACCCCCTGCTGCTGCAATCATGCTGCGCTTAGTTTCCACGCGTTTACCAGGAAAAACACTCCAGTGAGGACGTTCCCAGTCTATCTCTCTCTCTCTCTGCCTCTCGCCATCTCCTTCTCTTTTTGGTTTGTTTATCTAGTAGGTTATTCCAATAAAAAGAAATGAGTTGTCATTTCGAATCGGTCCTGCAACAACGTTTTTATCTCCAGCACAAGTGTGCGCCCTGATTGATGAGGATTGTTATTGCAGACTGGAACAAGTAGCACAGTAGCCCGGAAAAGGATTTCGTTCTCAACGGTAGCCAGCACAAATATTTGCATATGTACAATATTTTAAATCTTCTATTTGCATTGCATTTGAAGAAAAGTCATCAATATGGCTCATCAGCCCATTAATTTTGGCTGATCTTCACTGTCAAACAGGACTCCAGCACTGACCGCAGCAATTTGTCCGAGAGTCTCAGGTCCAAGATAAGCCACAAGTCATTTATAAATGTCATGAGCATTTCTGATTTGTTTTTATATTAATGATTGGTCATTTAGCAGGGATCGAGATTCTTAGCACGGATAGAAGCAGCGCAGTTGAAATAAGAGGGAGAATTTGATATGCCGGGAGTGTCTGGATATTTAAGGGAGCACGATCTGGTTTTGCTCAGACTGACAAATGTAGATTCCTCAAAGCAAAGTTTCCTAGTCTAGATTAAAGCATTTATGGAGATCGTATTGATAGTAGTAATGCACATCTGTTGACATTTTAAATCTGAGATCTACCATGGCATTCCTGAGCTTGCTGTACTAAATATTGCCGTACCCAAGCAGCATTGCACTGTGAAAGCAATATTTAAGGGAACTAAGCATCACGAGTCTATAGCGTGGAAGCGTGACAAATATTAAGTTTTTCTCGCCAAACAGAGAAATAGAAGCTTGGCAACTTAGATAATATATATGATATGATAAGTCGATAAATAGAACAAATTCAATATCTGCAAAAAAAGCAGGAGCATAAAATTCATTTTATTGTTAAATGCAAAAACTTTGTTCTATATGATCTCTCTAATACTTCAAGTATTATCTATATTTAATCTAATATAATTATTAAAATTTATACAAGACGAATTATGATAGATGCTAGAAGAAAAGTAATTGTAAACGTATATTCACAAACTACCATTACGATCAATAAAGAGTTTTCTACAAAATCATACAATCAAAAATAATATTAGAATTATAATAATAATAACATTTATATATGGAGATATTTTTGCAGCTGCTTCTTCGATATTTCTCATATCAAGTAATTCCCGTACAGCACAAAAGTAACCCATTTACTTGGTTAAAAAAACGCGCGAGTCAATTGCAGCTCACTTATAAAAGAAATTAAAATTTTCCCATAGGCTGTTAAACTTTATTAGACCCTATCGAGAACACTTCCGCTGCTTGATGTGAATAATATCGTGACAAGCCCTTAAAAACGAACGCGAAAAATATCCTTAGCCATAGCGCACCTGCCCCAGAGTATCTCAGTTCCGAATTGAGCTTTGCGGTCACAGTTCGTGAGCTAAACAATTTTATGGCAATTTCCTTACCAGAATGCCAGAATGCTATATATACACATGCATATATGCATATGTATGTATATTTTGTATGAGCAGGCATAGAACAAAATATATCTTATGGCAATTTGGAACGTTACTTCGACTGTCACGCTAGGTGGGCAGGAAAAACTCGATCGGCCGCCCGCTAGGAACACGTGGCATATCGTATGCTAAGTTATTTTTTATTTTCATTATACTATCTTGAGCTCTGGGCTCGGGGGGTGTCTGTTGATTTTGTGTTCCGGTCGGCGCGATAAGGCGTGCTGCATTCGAAATGAGTGTAACGTATATTTTATGCAGTGTCCATTGAGGTTTTACCAAGTGAGATAATACTAGTGTATTATGCTTGTAATGGCGACCTTCAACTTGGGCTTCTTATCGAGGCAGAGAATAGAAAAGACACAGTCTTATCAGTCGAAAAGCGACCATGAGAGAGAGTAGAGCTATAGATTAAAGAGGCCCAATCAAATATTGCCCTGATAAATTGAGCTATGAAACTTTTATATTATTTGCTTATCACTCAAGTATAGATCTGGGAGACAGAAATGTTTGATCAACTCAGAGAATTATCAAATATTGACAGAGATTTTCGATTCGTGCTGTATGAAAGTATCGAATGATCTTTACATAAGTCTGTGAATATACAATCTATCGTCGATCAAAGTCTTATAATATCGTCGAAACTTCTTATCAGATCATAAGATATAAATGCAGACGCTTTACTCTATTTATTTCTCTGTTATATATTTATATTTAACGTATTTTATAGAGGTTAAATAAATACAAATACAAAAAGAGCTAGTGATAAGTGCTCTAAACTATAGAGATATTCAGTATTTGTTTGCATATTTTGGAAAAACCTTAGGTAAATATTATGTAATGAAGAAGTATTCATCTCAATTTTATATATTCATTTAAAGTTCAACTAAAATTTGTCTATCAGCCAAGAAATGTTTTTGATTATTGCGACAACCAGCATTAAAGGCTCACTTTTCTAAGAAAACAAATACGCATCTAAATACCCGCACGTTCCAAAGTTGGGCAATCCTTTGATGAGCTGCCCTTATAAAGGATTATGAGCACCACTTGAAGGACACCCAGAATTGTGTTGAGCTAAGTTACCTCTTTCATTATTCCTGCACAATTCGACGCCTCTCTTTTCCGTGTGTTTACACAGCAAAATACAGCCCATATATATTTTCAGTACATCCTGTTAAGATATCGTCAACTCGAGGAAATTACTTAAAAGGATCACGAATTCTTGCCAGCCATCCATGGGCCTCCCCCCTTCAAGATCGTGACTTGTTTATGTTTCAGGCATGACTGCAACTCAACGCCGGCAGAATTTTTCCAAATTTGTTAAAAAGTGTGTAAATTTACGTTCCTATATTCTTCCATTTTTTTTTTGTTTTTTCATCGGTTTTAGGAGGGTGTGTCCCATAAACATAGAGCTCTGCGGTATGTCTGGCTTGAGGGGCGAGTCAAAATCGAGACTTGGCTGCCTAATCGATCTATAGATCGGTTTCCTTTACAGCCTTTTCTGGGGTGATTGCACTCGAGACTCAGTTTTTCCTTTTCCACTTTTGGACAAAAAAATAGAAATAAAACAAGAGTTTTTCTTCTCTTCTCTCGGCACAAAGCAAATGATGTCTTTAGCTATGAACCGGGTTGACTTTTCTATTCTTTTTCTCGCTTTTTTGTGCACTTTAATTGCATTTGTGCAAACAATATAAATCGTATTTTATTGCCCTGGCAATGTAATTTAATTTTTTACGATTTTGCACTCAAATAGCGAAAAGCTTGGGAAATCTTTGTAATCATTTTTTGCTCGAATCATATTAAAATATGCTCCCTATGTAACGGCTGCAAGTTTCATTATCTTTACACTCTGTTTTGCGTGCTCTAATGCACTTTTCCATAGTCTGCCCCACATTTGAGAGCCAAGGCCCCCGAGTTACAATTGGAAAGTGAAACTGTTGTAAAACGGTTGGAAACTGTCTGCGCGGCCGCCCTATATCCAATTTGTCCGACTCTGACATGGCAACAAACACAGGCACACACACGCATACAAACCCAAACACACGCACACAAATAAACAAAATCCAGTTTCAGGTTAAACAAACCGAAGCCAAAACATTTTTATCTACTCATCGTATTCAAGCCAAAAGTACAGCTCCAACCCGGGCTGTAACAACGATGCGCAGGGATTTTTCGCTAAGCCGAATAAAGAATGTTCTTATTGA